CTTTCATATTCATATTTCCATTTGTTTCTTTCATTTTGTTTATTGGACAGGTATCCTTAGCCATGGCTGTCCAGGCCTGTCCGTGACCGGGATGTCATCTCTAAGCTCCGAAATTCATCTTACCATATGTCTTTACACATCAGTCATCGAAAAAACTTGAAAGTTTTTATACTCCTTATCAGGATTGAACCTGCATCCTTCTGTTTCTAAGCTTATATCTAACCCATTAGGCCACCCCGGCGATTTTCAAAGTACTATTTATATACATGCATTTTTTTTAAATAGCGATTATCCTAAATAAATCCTTTAAACAAGAATATGCACTCAACCCACATCACAGGGATCAACAGCACCACAATGACATGCATAACTCTTTGAATTTTCTTTGTTATGCCGACGACGTGTGTATTAGTGAAGGTCACGGTCCGGTCTTTGGTCCGGACTGGACCAATACCCTCGGACCGGACCGGACCACGGTCCTTAAGAAAAAGATCAATCCAGACCGTGGTCCTAAATAAAAAGACCGGTTCTGGACCGGTCTTTTTATTTGTTTAAAAAACATATTTTTTTAACCTAATTTGATTTGTTTTATCATTTTATTAAATATAAGAGTATTATAGAAACAATAAAATTTATCCAATGGTATTGAAGAAAATGATTTTGTGCTTGTAGAGGGCATATAAAAATTAAGAGTAGATCGTGTTTTTTGAGATATTTTCATTTTCATCATTAGAAATATATATTTTATGTTTTATCAGATGTCTGCTTAAGGTACCTAATTATTTTATTAAGAATAAGGTTAAGTAATTTTTACAATAAATTATAGAGTTTCTTTAAAAAAAATAGAACTAGATAATAACTAAAATATTTTAATAATATTATTGCTTATTTTGATTAATTTATTGCTTAAAAAATTATAAACAATTATTTTGTTACTAGGTGCTGACGATACATTAAATTTAGTACTGCAATGAACACATACTTCTATGTTTTTATTGAGAGATAAGTAAAATGTTTCTTGGACAAACTTATGGTTTTCATATTGTAAAATAAAAATTAACAAAATCTAAAATGACTCCTCTAGAAAAATATTATAAAATAAAATATACAAAAAAATTATATTAATTGTATAGTAAAGCAAACTTAAACAATAATAAAAGACCGGTCCGGACCGCGGTCTGAACCGTAAAAAATAAAAAGACCTGTCCGGACTACGGTCCTCAAGAAAAAGATCGGTCCAACAATAGGTCCGGTCCGATCCCGGTCTAAGACCGATAGGACCGGACCGTTGACCTTCACTAGTGTGTATATTAGCTAACTCAGAATACAAGATAAGAAATATTTTATCATTATTTGTCAACAACTGTTATGAATATGGATTAAGAGTTAACTACACAAAAACCAAGCTTATCACCTCAAATACATATGCGAGTAACTTAAACCCCTTTAACTTTGAGGGTAATACGATAGAATTAGTGTCAGATTTCAAATACCTAGGAACCAAGATAACATCATTAGGCTTCACAATATTAGATACGAAATCGAGAACTAATAATGCTAGACTCCGGTATCATCAACTGTCGAAATTATGGTCATCCAACCAAATATCAAATAATTTAAAAATAAGACTCTTCAAGTCCCTAATTGTACCCATTCTTACCTATGGGCTGGAGACTTGGCAAGACACTAAAAGCAACATCAACGCAACTCAAACATTTATAAACAAATGCCTAAGAAGAATCACCTAGACATATTACCCATACAACACCTCAGCTCATCGACTCATTCCCTTGAGGAGATTAGAGTTACTAGGCCATAGCTTAAGACACTCGCAGGAAAATATGATATTTTCGTCCATGAAATGGTCCCCTGACGGTAGGAAGAAAAATACCCCTAAATACTATTGGTTGGCGAAATGTTTGATGGATATGGACCTGTTCAACCTCTCGTTTGCAGATTTCATGACACTCAGAAAAAACAAGAAACACCTAAAAGAACATCTAAAATACTTGCTAAAATATGGCCTAAATTAAAATAGGAACCGTTCTCTTCTTTTTCTTTTCTTGCAATGGCTAGAACAAAACATGTTTTAATGATGATAATAATCTGGACAACACAACTTTCCTATGAACCCACGACTTTTTCTTCTGGACACACGATATCGGCGACAATAAAGACAATATCTACAACAACAACAAATAGAATAATGGATAATGATAACGAACACTGGTTATGATAATAATGCAATAACACCGACGAACCCAAATATCATTTGCACAGCGCGAACAAGGTCTACAGGACACGCGATATCGACACACCGAACAACAAACAAGGAAGGGACTCATCATGCAAACTTAACTTAAACTCTCAATACTCACCAAGATATAAGGGTTTTTTTTTGTTGCCTCACTAAATAACCATATCAGGATTCAGGTACATTATTACATGACATTATATTTCTTAACACTATTCTGCCGGTAACGGAACTAATACATCACCACTTTCGTACTTCTCCCTTCTTTTGCTAGCTGGCTACATAGTGATACCGTCCACCATAATAAAGGGTAGACATCATGTATGGGATCTATATACTAGTGAAAATACATGATGCACGCGTCATCTCCTGGTGGTGATGAAATTGCACTTCGTGCAATTTCTGGCCTGGTAATGAATGAATGAATTTTTATTTTATAAATTAAATAGTAAATACAATATATTATATTCTCAAAATATTTTCCATTTTTATAAATTAAATACTAGTTTTATTTTTTTTAAATGCAATATAAATATAGTATATTCTCAAAATATTATTATACTTCCATTTTTATGAATATTAGTTTTATTTTTATAAATGCAATATAAAATATAGTATATGCTCAAAATATCAAATTTTATAAATATCAGTTTTATAATTTTTTATAAATAATTTAATATTTTTAAAATATTAGCTTTTTACCATGTATTTTTTAAATACAAATTAAAATTATCACAAATACAATCTTTTATATTCAAAAATATTATTTGCACAAATTTTTTATAGTATCAATTTGTAATTAAATATCTGAATAAAATATGTAATATACTTATTAAATGATAATATTCGCTGAAAAATATGGTAAAATATCTCATAGGTGAATTTTTGTATATACCAGGTCGAATATAATTTTAAAAAATTCCGAGCCGGGCCTGAAAAATTTTTTTTAAAAAAATCCGGGCCGGGCCAAAAAATTTTAAACCCGGGCCGGGCCTAAAATTTTAAATCCAGGCCGAGCTGGGCCGTGCCGTAAAATTTTTTTTTTAAAAATATCTGAGCCGGGCCTAAAATTTTTAAAACCGGGCCGTGCAAATGGTGACTCTGCAGGTCTCTGGTAATAATAACATAAGTGGAGAGAGATATTGAAGGAGCTTACTACCAGAAAAGTTGAAAGCTAAAGGAGGAAAAAAAATTTCTTTCTCACCCACTTAAATGAGATAACTCAAGTCTTATAACACATTTGGAATAATATTTAACAAATATTGAGTGGGGGGGGGGGGGATTATGTGAGCGCTAGAGGTTTGTAAATGGTAAAATTTTAAGGTCCAGCCCGGTTGGGATTAGTTTTTGCCCATCCCAGCTTAATTTGTAACCGGACCGGTAATAATTTTTAAAAAGTGTCGCGACCTGTTCCGGTTTTTTAAAATCCAGACCCGGTCTGACTCATTTTTTAAATGAAGGGTCTAACTAGAAATATAATATAGTTGAACATCAAAATAAACAATATTTATAATATTGGGGAGTGGTTGAATTAAAAACGTGATACTTTATATGTTATTACATCTACCAAGTATCCGAATTCATCAATAAGCCTAATATATTATATAATATGTCCTATTTAGGTCAATAATTGTTTAATGTTGATTTAGTGGCATGAGTTTACTTTTTAAAAAAAATTTAAAAAAAGGGAAAAATTAATTTTAGAAATTAACTTTTTATATGTATTTTTTTGAAAAAATTTAAATTTCAGGATTCTTAAAATTTTTCACTTAGTCCCTGCGATCACTCTAGTGGCGCTACTGTGTAGAATATATCGTCATCCTTGTTAAAATAGGGTTCAATTTTTCATCATGCCCGCGTTTAGCATTCTCCCGACCTCATCTTTTTCTGACTTTACTCTGCCCTGGCTTTTCACCCATATGAAGAAAATAAATAATATTTTATTTTCGGATATATATATATATCTACTAATTCTTTTTCCCAGCCCAGCCCAAATAAAAATATTCAGACGTTACCCGGTTCGGCCCATCCGCGTATAGGGTCTTTGCAGATCTTAGTGTGCATAGTCTTCAACATTTATCCAGTTATATGAAAAGTTGTAGAAAAATACACCCTACGTTACCTTTCGATAATATTTCGTAAAAACCTATAAAATTATATACAATGACCTTGGATTGTTATAGAAAAACTCATAAAAACCCAGACCAAAATGGCCTAATTTATTTTTTTTATAGATTTTAAAAAATGTGGAGTGTTTAAAAATCCCACCTAACCTCTCAAGGGTTAAGGTAGGTAATATTTATTTTATGCAAATTTTTAATTAAATCACCAAATTTAAGAATTGCTAATTTTGTTGTTCTGATGTAGCAACCATTTTTGAGACCTATTTAAAAAAAATTTTGGAGACGATAGAAATTGACCTTTATTATTTTGACCTCGCCTTTAATAATAATACAATATCCCATGCTTATCTACAAATTTTGTTAAATTTGGGATTTTTAAGTTATTAATGAATTATCGATTTTTTGTTTTCCTATTATTTTGGTAATGACTCATTTGTATTGTATTAACTGTAATAAGGGAGGGAGTAAATATTTGCGGTTTTAATAAATAGAAAATGAAAAAGATTTAAATAACCATAATCTTATATTAAAAGTAATAAAAATGACAATTCTTAAATATAACTTTGGTAATTCAAATTTCGAATTAAAATTATATTTTTAAAATGTATATACATATAGTAAACTTTTTTAGAAGATAAGTTGTTTGAATGCGAAGATGCCGTAATGCTTGCAATAGGGATTGTATCGGGTATATCTTGGTCTTACATAAAAAATTATATTATATTGATAAAAAATGAAAAATTAATGAATATCTATTAATTTTATAAAATTTTAAAATAAAATTGCGCAATGTTTATTTATTAACAGCTGTTTATATAAGGGCTGACTTTATAATGATCTAATATTTAAATCAATTTTTCTGTTTTCAAAAAATATTTTCTTCAGACAATACAAATAATGAGAAACGTAAAGGTTTTAGTTTCACTAATGGGTCTGCACATGAAATTTTAAGCCCGTCCAGGATTTTATTTAAAATATCCATTTTCCAGCTCGTCCTAAATTTTCTCAGGATTTTATTTTCAAAGATGGTCTGGCATTTATTTTTGCCAGCCCTGTTATTTTAATAATTTAATACCCAGCTCTATTTTGTTATTTGTAATTAATTTGAATTGATTGGTATAATTTATTTAAATTTTTTTAAAATTGTCATATTTGAGGAACAAATTGTTTAACAGATTTTCTTTAAAGGATCTATCCCAGAGCTCCGTGAATCCGCGAACACTGACGTAATTTGAGTGGTAAACCTTGAGGGTAAGTTGCCTCAGCCTGACCCAGGTGTATTTTTATTATTTTTGTGTTTAGTACAATGAGATTTATTATTTTCCGAAACTTCTTCCATTTCTATATTTTATTTGGATATTATATTTTCATATATCCTAGCTTACGAAATAATTTATTACCATATTTCTCGATTGCGGACTTTAACTAATTCGGCTATTATGTCTAGAAATTCCTTGATACTTTTGTTACCATTATTAATAAGCCAAAATTTATTTGGGTGAAAATATTACATATCGCTAATAAAGTTTTATATTAAAAAACCACAATAAAACTTAAAGAACCATAGGATTATTAAGTCTTTCTTCTCATAATTATTTGGATGTGCGCTTAATTCTATGACATGATAATACACGTAACGTGTAATTTTAATGGTATATTCTTGGCTTTTATTTCAATTACAATATAAAGAGATAGCTAATTTGGAACAGTATAGCATTAGTGTTCTTTGATTGAAAATGCGCTTAAAAATTGAAATTTCTATAAAAAGCTATTAATAAAGTTTTCAATAAATGATTGTGAGCCTTGGAAGTAGTTATAACTTCAAAGGATTCTCAATCTCCAATACATTTTAAGAAGCTTATTGTAATAGGTGACAAACAATTTCCTTCATATATCCATGTGATTGCTTTTTCTAGAGCCCAACATCTTGCCTTACCGATTTTTTGTCATCATTTAAAACTTGCCTACATAATTAGTTACTTCCAGGCATTTAGTTGATAAAATTCTCCAAAAAAAACAAGTCTATAAAGGAATTCAAATAAAGGCGTTTCCAGATTATTAGAAATCATATATATTCATGGTATGAGTATTACATATATATATTGTTAGGAACACATTGTTTTATTTAATTTTTTTTGGAAGTTACTAACAATGCTCAAATTACAAGTAAAAATATACATACATTTTTTAAAATTAATTTATCTTAAATTTCATTTGTTTAACCCTATAAAAAGGTAATTAGCATGATTTCACTGAAGTATGTTTCAGCGAAAATAAAATGCATTTTTTTAATCAATTTTTTGTGGCATCGTGGGAACATTGTCACTTTCACATATGGTTAGTCCGCTATTGCACCCACTCATTAGCGTCACTAGGGGCCTCGGAACCCCCTGAAAAATTTGAGGAATCCCTTGAAATTCTTTTTTTAAAAAAAAGATATTAAAATATTTCCTAAAACAAATTTCCGTTTTTATGAGCAACCGAGATTGTAACAGCTAATGACGCCGCGGCACCCTCTAGATAATAGCTATGCATGCACCCGTCCTTGCAATGCTTTTAAATGTCTTATGTACCAATTGGATTGAGAAGAGATGAGCATTAAAATTTTAATTTTTAGGGTTATGAAGCAGTAAACCCTCGTTAAAGTTAAAAGAGGACACGGAATATAGTTAACTATAGTCGAAAGTTTATTAACTATTTAATTAATTCAAGACTCATTAGAAGATTTTTTCTGTAGCTTTAATTTCTTTTAAAATAAATTTTAGGCGATTTTTAAAATAAATATATTATATAAGAATTGGCAAGTCTGTCGATTGACTTGCCAAACTCAGTCAATTGACCAGAGGAGCATTTAACCTGGTCAAATACTCTACAAAATCTGTAAAAAATTTGTTTGAAAAAAGAAAAACGATTATATGTGATCACAATTTTGCTTATTTATTGGGTCCCCAGTATGGAATATAATACAAGAAGTAGTCGTTTTACTAGATGGTGATGCTCATATCATAAATTTCAGAAATAAAAGCGGAATTTTTAAAAGTAAATTATGTGGAAAGCAGTAACTTTCATAAGAAACAATCAGATTCTGGCCTCAAGTTAGTGGATACTAACAATTACCATTTCTACTTCTTCTTCAGGTGAAATTGGTCTATATTTGAGTTAATGTTCCTACTAAAACAAAAGTTTGAAGATCTCGACAACACGATAATTGATTAAAAAATATTAAAGAAAATGATAATATTGAACAAGACTGCCATGCGAAACTTTAGTTACTGAATGACAATGAATTGATATAATATTATAAAATTAATATTATAGATTTATTTTACTATTATTATTATATACAAAAAACATTTATTTGAATTAAACCATATTTGAGTGGACAAATATCGGTCAATTGACCGAATGGTATGACCGGTTAAATACACAATCTTATATATAATTAACAAATATTATAATATAAAAATGAGCATCAAAATATTTTTTTTTTAAAAAAATACTAATAACAAAAACACAATTTAAAAAAATGTTATAACAATTGAAAATATTTATGTTGAACCAATAGAGTTCAATGTTCCATGAATGGAGTTTGAATAGATATCCCACGCATAAATCCTTCTTTAGGATCACTTATAATTAAGTAATTTTTACTCAATTAGTTGAATTTGAAGAGCTTGTGGCCCAAATTAAAAGAGATGTTTAAATAATTGATCTTTTGGTTTCACTATTTTCAGCCATAGGAAGGGATGAGAGAATGATTTGAAAAGCCTTGTTTTCAAGGTAAGAAATCATGCCGTCGGGTCTGGTAACGTTATTGTGGTTAAGATCGGAGGGTTCAAATGTGGATGGAATTTTATCACAAAATTTAGTTAAAAATAGTGAGGAGAGGATTTAATTATTACAGAATTTTTTGGCATAAAGCCAGAACTTTCAGATTTAGCTAAAGATACATAAAATTTCCGGGTTAACTGTAAAAAGGTTTTACTGAAAATCAGGGAAGATTTTATAATTAACAAATATTTGTCGATATGTTTTGAAGTAATATAATATAATATAAATATTCGATAATACATATTAAGAAAAAATACTTACTCGGTCTACAACACCTACATAATAAGATGTCAATTAATTTCATTTATCATCAGGAAAAATTATTTTGCAAGAATGTCATATTTATAAAGAACATAATGTAATTCTATAAATTTATATTTATTAACTAAATAAATATCAAAAAGAGAATATAATATTGTCATATAAATATTCATTACATTTTATAACAAGTTGATTGAATAGAAGAATTAGAAAAAATATCTAAAACCTTGACCTTATTTTTATTAAATAAATTTTTAATTAAAATTATAAATCAATGAATATATATGTTTTACCATGCGTATCTAATTTCTGAAGATTTACATTTATCAAATCTTTTTCTTTTTTCTTGAACAGAATAAGTTTATTATCCCCATTATCATTTATCTTTACCGAATTTTTGGTATTACATATCCCCATTAAAGCATTTACATAGATTTAAAATAAAAATAAAGCGGATATATAATACATACATGTATTGCAGGATCAGAATAGATTGGATGTTATAATTGGAAAATCAATATAAAAATCGATATCACGTAAAAAAATAATATTTTTATTATTGAATTTAAAAGCAAGGTGATTTCATTAAACGTATATAAATAAATAAAATAAAAATCTTTTATAACAGTTGAATAAGGTGAAATATTCATAATACATGAATATTTTGTTTTTATATGATAATATTTTCTAACATGTTTAAAAAAAATTGATTATCATTTCGATAGCTTTTTGTTATTTATATTGAAAGTATGATAAAATACATTGGACTTAGAGCTATGCAATTCTATTGAGATTATAAATATTATTCACATTTATAAGGAGATCCGAATTTAGAAATCGAAATAAATAACCTCAATTTTTTGGAATGAAACGAATATATCCATTAACAGAATGGGAATAGGTTGTGCCCTAGGTCGACTTATAGCTAAATAGCCGGCTTTTAAGTATTTACTAAATAGCCAAAAAAGTAAGAGGAAATTAAGATTTTAAGCTTGCCACTCTTTTAATTTTCTAAATAACGATTGTACTTATCAATATAGAATACGTACGCAGGTTTTTTATATTTTTTACTTGAAACGTAAGTTTTTTTTATATAATAATTCATAGGGCCTTCGCCCATAACCCCCAATTTGCAGGTTAATCGATATAGCATACTCATCTAAGTTAATGTTATATTTAATATAATAAGATTTTTAAGACAATATTAAATTTAATATTTTTTTTATTGATTTACTAATAACAATTAAGATATATTATTTTCCCCTGTTTATAAATATAGCATAATATTAATTATATATTTTATGGAGACCCAGGGTTCAGATCCGTGGTTTAGACTCGGGGTTCAGATGAATAATGTTATTTTTATAAGAGGCAATAAAGATTTCCATCGGCACTGTGAAGATAGGCTGAAAACTCCTTGCATGTAAGTTATAATTTTGTTTAACCATAAGTTCAACTTCCAATGATGATAAATGTACTCTGATGACACATTATGCTGAATAAAAAATACAAAATTGCATATTTTCTCTATCAAAGGTGAGTTTTTATTAGAAAAGAAATCCATCCATTTTTCTTACGTATTTATATGATTGATTTTCGATGATTTATCTTCATAGTAGGAATGAAAATGTGAATACTCCTCAAAGAGAATATCTGTATCTATATTTAGTATTATATAATTAATAATAATTTTTTGAAATTGTTCAAATGCTGAACATTTTTCTATGTAGGGCTAAGATATTTCCCTATATTATTTATAATATCATACCGTTTTTCTATATATTCTATAATATCTTGTATGAACATTTTGATTCATTATTGAAATTTAAAGCCTTTTCTTCGTCCCTATTATAAAATAAAATTTTGGAAATTCTCCTATAAAAATTTTGTTGAATTTTTAAATTTAACAAATTCTTTAGTTTTTGGATAAAAACGTGTATTTATATTACTAAGACATCTTCCGATTGTAATTGTAAATTTATGTTATTAAAGTGCCAACGTTAAGGACAACACCTAAATATTTTTAAAATTGGTGAAGTTGCTGTTAATGATAAAAAATATTCTTTAAGGGGTTGATAATACTTAAGCATCCGCTCAATCGGTGGGAATAATGTAAGCCAACACCATTCTAAATTTATCTATTCTAACAATTCTTCTAAAATTGTAACACTTTTTGTCAAGTTTCTAAATTGATTATAACATTTATAACTATACTCTCATATCATATTTGAGAAAAATTATGGCCTTTTTAAACGAATTATGAAGATTGTGGCATGCATGTACAATGATTTTTCCCTGAGCTTATAGATACAGTGGCGTAGCCAGGATTTATCCATGGGGGGGGGGGGTTAAAATTTTTTTTTGGGGGGGGGGGCGAAGCCTTCAAACTCTACTTTTAAATATTGGAAATATTATGTGCTTTATTAGTGTCTAATCACTATAGTAACAAGCATGAATAAAAAAAATATTAGTAACAATTTTGGCTAAATTTATGATTAATAAGCGATTGAACACTGAAAACATTATTCTAAAAATTTAATCTATGCTTCGTCAATTGTAAATTAATCCATATAGTTTAGAAAGAAAAAAATTTGCTCCCCGAACTTTACATTTTTTAAGATCACTCAATATATCTGATTGAGTGTTAAAAATAATTCTTTTTTAAATTTTAGATATAGATTTTATTTATTATTAAAATACTTTAGTATAAACAAAATCTCTTTATTTAACTATGCATTTATTTTAATGATAATATACAATAAAATAAATTTCAAAATGTAGAAATTTTTATGTAGATTATTATATTAAAAATTTATTGTAAATAACTATATTTAAAAAATATATAATTCAATAAAATATAAGTAATTCTTGTACGGTATTTTAAAAAATATAATTTAACAATTATAATTAATACAAAATAATCTATAAATATTTCTTATTGCAAAAGCAATACTTTTATTAAAAATACATAAATATTATGACTAAAAATTCATTATAATTAAGTTTTGCATATAAAAATTTTATGACTAAGAAAATATGATAATCATAGATTTGAATTTATAAAGAGAGGTATTCTTTTCTCTGAGATTTGGCTAATTCACCTAGAATCAAATTTTTATCTAGAATAATTTCCTTATAAATATTTAAAAGGGCTAATCCATTTAAACGGTTTTCACCGGTGCTATTTCTTAAATAGGTTTTTAACCTTTTCAAAGTTGAAAAAGACCTTTCATTGGTGCAGGTACTAATCGGTAAAGTAGCTAAAATAAAAAGTAATTTTTGATATTTGGCAGGGAATCTAAAATGCAATTACACATGGAAAGAGCCTGCAAAGCATTTTTAGGTCTCAAAGAGTACTCTATTCTGTCAAGATTTTTATACCAAAATTCGACATCACAAAGTAACTTATCATACGATCCTGATAAATCATCAGAATAAAACTCTGAGATTTTCTTAATATCCTCTCGCGTTTCATGTGTAATCAACAGACTCAACCGGCAGAAGAAAAAAATTTTTTTTAAATAAAATTATGACAAATAAATCTTTCTTTTAATTGAAATAAAAATGTGTCAATAAGTGGAATAAAAATATTTATTTTATAAAAATCCTCAATCGAAGAGGCATCAATATTTAAGCGATTTGACTGTCTAGAAACTACTCTAGGTTTAAAAATTTCAATCCCAAACAAATTAGCGATCTCCTTTACTTTCTAATTGCTAATATTTCAACAATATCCTTTGCCCTATTCATAACCTCTCTTAAATCCAAATTAATTTGAAGTATTTTGCTAAAATCATAAGTATAATTAAATAAAAAATATACACATTGAATTGATATTAAAAATTGTGGCTTCGTAATCGCCTGTAAAAAATTTTCAGCATCTGAGGAATCCTTTTTTTTGCTGGATACGTAGGATTCGAGTGCTGCAAAAATAACTTCATATAATTCTATGAAGAGTCTCACTGATTGTTGTCTTTCGATAAACCTAGTTGAGCAAAATCGTTTTAGTTTTTTTTTGGATTATTTGAATCAATATCATCAAATGTTCGGATAAACAACTGTCTCTTTTTGGGTGGTGTGAAAAAGTCACAAACCGACGATATTGTTTAATTTTGAAAAATATATTAAATTATAAAAAGATATCTATAATACATAATAAAATCTAATAAATTCCAATTAAATTAAAAAAATTTTACGTAAACTCTTCCGGATGTCTCGAATTTCACATGCCTCGGATATTATCAAATTTAGGCAATGTGAGCTGCAGTGAACATATAAAGCGGTGCTATAAAGCTCTCTAATTCTTGACTGCACTCCCTTAACATGACCACTCATTGAGGGAGCTCCATCATATCCCTGGCCTCTCATTAGATTTAAATTTAAATCTAGATCTTGAAGGGATGCTAAAATTTCTTTGGCTATCGTCTCTGATTAACTCAATTATATTATAAAATACCATACCATCATTTGATGATTTTCCAGCCAAATCAACTGAGAGCTCAGATTCTTTAATAATACATAATATTTCTAATTATAAAAAATTAAGAGAACTTATAAATGATAGAATTATACCATTATCATTTGATGATTTTATTTTAGCTAACTCATTTGTTTTCCCTGAGTATGTTGGTTGTATTTCTAATTGCAAGATTTAAATAAAAGATATTATAAAAGTGAATACCATTACCATCGCCATTTGAGGATTTTGTTATTTCTAAATCAAATTACATAAATTTTCTAAATCAATTTAAATATACCTTTATTTAGTAAAAATTTTCTTATATCCATGTGGGAATTAAATAAAAATTTTAAAAACTATCAATTTAGTTTAACAATTTAAATTTTATTATTAAATTTAAAATATCTAATTAAACAATAAAAATATATTTACAATATATATTTAATTGTTATTTAATATTTTATTAGTTCATAAAAATATATTTCATTTTAATATCGTATATATTATTTATTTTATTTCTAAATTGAAACAGTTTTTTAAATAAAATATAAAAAAAAAATTTTGAGGGGTAATGGGGGGGGGGGGTTCAACCCCAAACCCACCCTTGTCTACGCCACTGTATAGATACTTTATCTACACAATAGACCGTTACATTAGCACTTTCAAGTCCAGCTATTTTTAAATTTTCTAGCAAACATCTAGATATGTCTTGAAAAAAAATTTAAGTAATTTAATACTTATTCCATTCTTTTTATTGAAGTATCTAAGTAATAAGGGAAATGTTTTTATATTACCTTTATTCGATGTATCCATTAGTATTGAAAACAGGTGATGTTTTTTAGATCTTTTAGAATATTTGCCTTTGTTTCTGGTGCCAAAATATTTTGTATTATTTGAAAGACTTTTGTTCTCCCACATGAAACTATTGATGCAATTTTAGA